GACATGCGTAAGGATAATTTTTTTTGAATCTGACATCCTGAAGAAGATTGTGCTGATTCAGTTAGTGGAAAGATCTTACTCCCAAAGAAGGGGTACTTATTAACTTATATTAAAAAACCCACATTCATTAAATACTAAAAAGAAAAAATTGAATGGGACACCTGCCCACACAGAGCAGACCTTTTTTTTTTTTCCTTTCCCCCTTTAGTCTGAAAAAAGCTTGTGTGGATTCCTAAGAGCCCTACAGGCTTCATGAGTCTGTTGGGAAGAGCCCTGCCCTCGGACCTGCTGGTAGCTCGGGGTCAGAGTTCAGAAGAGCATCCATCCTGTGCCCTCCTAGCAGGGAAGGGAGGCCTGGGGTGCTGCCCCAGAGAGAAGGCACCCTCTATACCTTGTGTTAGAGGTTTGGAAGGACAGGTGTAGGAAGTGGAACTGGTTAGTTACACTTACTCTCCATTTTCTTTAACTACCTGTCCATAGTGTATCTGTCCCTCATTAACGGGGATTGTGTCTGGTACTGTCTGTGAGGAGCTGTCACCATTAAACTAGTTATAAGAGTAACAAATTAATTCGTGTCTGCCCTCTTTCTTGGGCTGTGTAAAGAATAATACATTAGCACAAAGTACTTGGAGAGACCACAATTTAAATATTTTAGCGATCTGATATCTACTACTGATTTCGAATAACATACTGGCAGTGTTGGCTTTCTAACATTGCTGCACGATCACATGGCTTTTCCCTGGTTATTTCATCGTGAGGCTCCTTGAATTGGTTCCCTTGCAGCTGAAAGGGATCCCGGTGGTGGTGGTGTTCGCCAGAGCTCTAAGTAAAAATGACTTTGTTCTCTGCTATGTTAAATTGGCTGGTTAATTCTGGTGTTATTTACCCTGTAATTCATTAGTTTTACTCTACCATTGGCAGCTGACAGGCTGTAATTTCATGCCTTGCAATAAAAGATGTCTCATAATCTGCTTCATTTAGCAGCAAGAGAATTTAATGAAATTAACTGCAGTCCTAATTATGCCAGTGAATACTAAAGACTGCTATCAAGTTGCCTCAGAAAAGGACAAGGTCCACCTCATGAAGGATTTAGAATATAATTTCCTGGGAAAAGTTGCAAATGTCTCCTTCTATTGGCCAACAAGGGCCAATTACAAGTGCTGATATGACTTTAATGAACTAGTTTGTTCTGAGTATGTCTCACAAGGAATAATAATTTTTTATTTTTAAGCAAGTTTTTAGAGATTTCTCTCCTTAGAATAGCTGACCTATGAGAATTTGTTATTTTGCTTCTGTTTCAAAGAATTTTTCCTCATCTTTTTATGCTGCATTGTGCTCAATTTTAGCAACTGAAGAGGCAGCTTGGATGCTCCATGCTTCAGATAGGGAATAAGGGTAGTGGTTTGGGGAGATCTTCATCCCAGAGGACGTTAGACAATTTGTTCTCATGTGCCGTAATTTATTAGAAGATCATAGCTCAGTTACACAAACACCACAATGGAAAAAGAAATAAGAATACTCACAAAGAAACATGACAACGAAAGTGCTGACGTTGCACCAAGAGAAGAAAAGAATTGATACCAAGGAGCGTTCCTAGGACTGGAAACTCTGAGGCCATTCTTTACAGTTTTGGAAAGGGTTTCTTCTGACGTGTGCTCTTTTTTGTGTGTGTATTCATGACTTTGTGTCAGAAAGGTCTTCTTGGCAGGGCTTGCTTGACTTCCATTCCAAAGTGTTGGTCGATGGATTTGCCGAATGTGAGCTAACTGCTTTTTAAGCGCTGCCACACTTAGACAACATGATGTGAAATGTAACCGCCATTTTACAGCTTAAATGATGTTAAATGTAGTTAATTGGAAAAACTTTTAACTGCAGAGAATTTCCCTATGAATAGCCTTCATAATAACCGTCTCGCTATAAAACGCAAAATGCTTTGCTCACAAGGACAACTGTACTATAAAGGTGAAGTGTATTGATCGAATTACCTGAGATAATAAACTCCGGATGAATAACTCCTCTATTGATGAATGGGAGAAGTCTTCCTTTTTACCTAATGCTGTTAGTGTGATGGGAAGGCAATTGAGAGAACAGTATTACAGAGTGCGTGGCTGTTTCAAGCGTAGTTTAGATTTTTAAGTTAAATAGCTGTGTGAAATTACTGATGGAAAATGGCTTTGAGTTTTTTTACTGTTGCTGTTTGTCAGGGGGTTTAAGCTCTAATTTGTTCCAAGTACAATCATCTTCCTTCAGATAAGTTTATAGGACTGTATAAAGTGGATATGTGTCGGGAAAGAGACTTGAA